AAGCTATTTTTAAAAAAATGGGATTTCTCATGTTAATGCCTCTTTTCCCTTTCTGATAATCACTTTTTTTTTGTAACAGTAGTCTTTGTTTACAACTGCACTCATCTTTAAAGTAGTGTATTTACTTTGCAAAGAGAAGGGATTATGTGGTATTCATAGATTTATCTAAAGTTGGTGTAATAAACAATGAATATATAAACATATAACTTTTAATACAAAAGCTGTGATATATATAAAACTATATATTATGTCATAAAATGTTCTGAGTTGTCACTAAATACACTAGTTAGCTATATCTGTAATTTAACCTAAGAAAATTATAAAAAATATTGAGCATACTTATAAGTTTTCCAGCTTTTAAATTTGCTGTTCGATGTTCTTCACTCATTTGGCTTGGTTCTTCAAAAAGTATTAAGGTAGGATAGTAAACGGATATTAGATTTGACTGTAGATAACCATGCTGATCTTGAAAAGTGCTCAAATTATTATTATACAGTCAAAAGTCGTTAATCCGGACTCGTCGGGACTTCGGCTATTCCGGATTATCGATTTTTCCGGATTATAGATCATCAGTTTAAATCTGGTAAGATGGCATGCAGAAATTATAAAATTAAAAATATGAAACCACAATTTATGAAATAAAGAACAATTATGATCTAAAGGGTATCAAAATTTAGAAAAAAAAAAGCTTAATATTTATTTGTTTACTTTATTAAACATTTCTTTCAATGTAAGTTGTTTAAGTTGCTTCGTTTTATGTGATAATACTTTCTCTTTAATTCTATAAACAGACATAATTTCGTGTTCAGTTACAAAGTTCCGCTGTTAAAGTCCTATAATTGCTGTGTCGAGAATACCGACTAATTTGTCAATCGAAATTTTTTTGTTTTCAATAACCTCTTTGTCACTTTCTTCTTTATCAGAAGCGAATTATAATGACGAGGAATTTGATTTAAATCATATCAAAGACGGAGTACATCGAGATGAAATACTACATTTAGAAAGGAATTATAAGCCAAGTAAAATAAAAACATCTACCCTGAAGATAAGGATAGTGCTGACAGATCAACTTCCAATTCATTGTGCGCCCCCCCCAGCCACAGAGCAGCGTCAAATTGATAAACAGATTTCGGAATGGTTAGCTCATTTTTTGCAGCAATTCCACTTTTTGTTTAATGGACTTCGAAACATACTTTTGCCTTGTAGATCCTTTACATATTAGTAAATATATATCGGAAATTCTATTTGACATAATCGAAAGTTCAAGCTTATTTTTATAAAATTGCTCTAACAGTCTGCAAAAAATAATAAGCTGGATCCAATTTGAAGATTAAGGGACAACGCAATCTGCAACATTAACTGAATTAGATAATTTTAGCTTAGCTTATACCGTCCGTTATACATTAAACGTGCATGCGTAAATGTATTTTGCGCATGCGCACACGCATATTTGTAGCCGTAAAAGTCTTACGCGCATGCGCAGAAAGTTTGTAGCTTTGAGGTCCCGATTATAGATCATTCCGGATTATGGGTGTCTGAATTAACGACTTTTGACTGTATTTCCAGTCTAGCCTTAAATTTCTTTTTACTGTTAAACAGTTCAATATTGTTGAATGCACATTAATTTCATTCAGTTTATGAAGAATTCATACATTTTACTAAGCTATTTCCTGAAAATGAAATGAACTGCATGAAACCTAATTTTCTGTTCTTAATCAGTCAGGGCTGTGGAGTCAGAGTCGGAATGGGAGTTAGACAGATTTTGGGGTAAAAGGGGTCAGAGCTGGAGTCGCTAAAAGCATGTTGACTCCAATTTTCGTTGGACAGTTTGAATTTGAAATGAAATTAAAGTGAATTAAAAAAATTTAATGACAAACTGAGTTACTATTTTATTTATGGGACTATATACATTAATAAATCACTGCCTAATTTAAAATGTGGCCTCTCATGGTAAAAAAGTTCCCCACCTCTGATCTAGAACATCAATCCCCCTGAAGTGGACTTATCTCTAAACTGTATAATGCAAATGAGGGAATAATCTTAGTGAAAATTTAGTTAAAGGTAGTACCTACAAAAATCCTAATTTAAGTGGAAGAAGAATTTTCAGAAGAATTATCTCACGAAAGAAGGGACAAATCTAATGTGAGTACTGTTGTGAATCTGAAAATTTGAACTGTCTTGGTGCCAGACAAAACTAACAAAAATTTAAGAATAATAATACTCCAAAATTGAACTGAAAACTTTATCTTAAGTTGTGTGGAAGAGGAACTGTTTGAATGATCTGTCTCAAATGTCATGTAGAAAACAACATTTCTTAAATCAATTAACTTAATTAAAGCAAAATCTCGCACCAAATTAATCTTAACCTGAAAAAATGAGATAAAAGGAATAAATCTTTGCTGGTGCTTGAGTAAAACAGAATATTATCCCTCAAACACAAAAAATCTCTTAAATAACACTTAAACTACATTTCAAATCATTTCAATAATTAACTCAGGAGCAACAAGTTCATTTTCATTAATCTTTGAACTCTTTCTGGCATGCTACCTTTTTTATAGTTCGAATTTTGACAAAAAAAAAAAAAAAAAAAAAAAAAAAAGTAGGCAGTTTAATCAGGCTAGAAGAGTACACAGGTAAAATTTTGTGAAGATAGCGCTTATCGTTTTAATGCTGTGGGTGTGCCCGAAGCGGGCACACTGAATGAATAGAGCTTCGAAAATGCTGAAACGAGCATTGCTGGGAAGTGCGTAAAAAAGTAAGAGATTTTGCCTACAGTTAAAAAACACTAGATTCTGAATACCGTAGCAGATTTAGCATTACCCAGGGTGGGCCATAGGGAGGCCTGCTACTCTACAACCCCCTAAAAAAGCTCTTCTTGGTTATATGATGATTACATGCATATGAATGAAAAAAGTAACTTGGGCATATGATATTTACATTATTTACATTTCATATTTACACTTTCGTCTATTTTTTTCATGGTGGTACTTTTAAAAGAAAGTGACACCACCTTTAAAAAATTACAACCCAATATTGCATGTTTTGCACACTTACTGGGATCCGTATCAGACTCGCTATCTGAAAGCAATTTGTGTAGCACTTTCAGTGCTTCAGAAATGGCCAGCCCTCTCCGATCCATTTGGAAAATAATTAAAAATCCGAAAAAAAAACTAATATCTACAAATTGAAATTATAATGTATAAAATAAAATTAAATAAACGTTTACAACTCAAAAGTATTAAACTTAAATTTGTAGTGCTAACAAAACTTCCTTGAACAAAAGCAAAAGAGAACTAACTGCTCTAGTGAAAAACCGAAAAGCTAACTGATAAAAGATAAAATTACCTCTGACCTTCAGAAAAAAATCATCCCAACAATTTCTTGGTTGATAGTCAAACCTCCCCTAAAAAAAAAAAAAAAAAAACAAGAAATGAAACACAGATGTGACCCACCTTTCTATTATGAATGACCTGGCCGATGAGCTGCAGAAAAACAAAGATACAGTTTGTTATGAAGTATTGCTATAGGTGGCGCTGATGTACCAAAAAGTTGGCAAAAGATCTTGTAACTCATCGTGAGCAGACACATATCTTGAAGCATCGAAAGGACTAAAATCCTGTAGCCCCACTATCTGAATATGTATATAATATTGTATATAGTGTTTAATCATTGAAATAAATGTTGTGTGTGAACTTCCCTTAATCCTAGAAAAGTTACCGACCACAAAAAGCATCTTGTAATTACACCTCTGGATACTTGGAGCCTTTCATGATCACTTACATACACAGTTGCCTCTCAGTGAGCCCACTCTGGGAACACCTGATGTTTGCTGTTCAATTTTAGGCAAGATTTCAAGATAAAAATTTAAAACTAATATAGAATTAGGAGATTAGCATACAGCGAAGAAAATAACATAGAAATTTTTTTTTCAAACAATTCCTTTTATATCCTAAAAAAATCTGGAAGATTTCTTTGAAAAATTAGTGTCTTTAAAAACTAAACATGGCTAAAATATATGGGCTGGTTTGTGTTGGGCTGCCATGTAAGTTACATTGCATTAAAGAAAACCATATCTGCAGCCTGCTGGGTCATGACACTTGCCACAGGGCAAATGCCACCCCCCGATCTGTTTTTTAGCTTAACTTTACATCACTCCATTCCAATCTAACTCTAAAATCCATCTGCAACTAGAAAGTAACCTTGGTCTCTCCGCCCCCATATGGTCATAGGCCAGAAATGTTGCATAAAATTAAACTTCACCAACCTTAGACTTTCACATATTATTTAGAGAAATTTCACCCCATTTAAGTGAATTAAGAACAAGACAATTTTACAAATAAACTACCTGTACTCGGGAGCATGAGAAATACCAAATGACCCCTCCCCAAGAGTGGAAACTAACGATAAGAAACGAATGAATTTACAGACGCCCTTTTCGTTCAGGAGAAACTAATGTATTTCACTACTGCAACATACACAAAGCAAGAAAGCAAGTGGACGAGAAAGGCCAAAATTTACAACTTCCTTTACTGCTCATTAGTGGAAGAACACCCCCAGCAAAGATATTCAAAAACACACTATACTGCCATCAGTTCTACTGCTAGTAAAAGCCATTAAGATGTCATTTCCGTTGAAAGAAATGCTCAAAAGAAAGGTTTTCCTGTCTTGTTTACAAAAACCTACCATTGAAAAAAATATTACGCTGACGCTCTTAACGATTTACAAGTACTCTTTTTACAGTTTCAAATATAAATGAATTACAAATAAACATACTTAATTATTGATAACTTAAAATAAAACATGAATAACCTAACAATTAGTGACACAACAGTACAGAAAACTTATTATTTTATTTAAATGAAAACTAGTAAATAAATAAGATTTCTTCTTTTTAAATACTATTTGCGAATACATTTATGCATTACTGTGTATTATTATATAAATTTGAAAAATTGTTAATAAATATTCACAAATGATAATCCTTTCTGTTTTAATTTTAGGAATATCTGCTGTAGCATCTGTTTTATCCCTTGGTTGGGGAATTTCTGCTTATAGTAAATCAATGCGCAGTGTCCGTCCAGAGAAGAAAACTCTTTCTTGGTGGGGTCTATTATTCCAAGCACTATGGAGAATTGGTATGGTGTCCTCTAGAGTAACTGCTATGGTACTTTTTGCAGCAATATTTGGTCAATGGTTGTTACTTGTATTTGGTGAGTCCTTCATTATTCAAATATATATATGTTACAGTGCAGATTCCTCATTTTAATGCATTGGTAAGCTTTTCATTTATGATATTAATTCCTGATTTAGATAATGCCTTTTCGTTTTCAGGTCTAGTTTCATTTAAATTTTTAAAAGCTTTTTAAAAGTTTAAATGAAATTAGATCTTTTCCCCCTGGAATATAAGCATTCGGGAAAGCTTTTTTTTTTTTTTTTTTTTTAAAATATAAGCATTTAAAAAATTAAAAAATACGTTAAGTTTTTATATACCGTATAATTTGTGTAATGTCTGCACCCCAACTTTACAGATAAAATTTATATAAAAAAAAAAGAAAAAAGTGATCTGCATAATGTCCACATACCAAAAACTAAAGTATTTCTTACTTTAAAATATATATTTTTTTAACATCGCCTTTTTCCCTTTAGTCAATAAACATCTTTAAAGAAAGAATATGCATTTGTTTTGTCTAAGGTTGGCACCAGGATGGAAAGCAGAGACTTTTCTTGCATTCTGGTGCAGCTGTTATTCGGTCTTAACATTGGCACCACAGCAATCCATAGACAATAATAAATAAAGGCAGTCCAAACAGTTTTCACCACACTGGCTTCGAGGAAATACTGTTTTATAATGAAATTACTTCCCCCTTCCTCCTTGAAACATTCACATATTTCAAGCTTTCTGTTTTCATTCATAGTATCATTTGGAATTTTCAGTGGCTAGCAAGTAGGGTGCTTGTAATGGGAAAATACAGCAGTTTTTAAACTGAAAGTCATAGAATTTGCACAGGAAAATGGCGGCAACAAGAGTATATAATGTGGACAAAAAGTGTGTGTGCAATTGGAGCAAACAGTATAGTCAACTGGCGGCAACGAACAAAACAAGATGTGTTTTTCGTGGTTCGGAATGTAAGTTTCCAAACTTAGGAAAAAATATTGCATATGTTCGTGATATATGTGCTCAAGGGTATGCAGTAACATGGGAAATGTGCCAAATAAGAGCACTTGCTGTGGCACGAGAAGACATTCCTACATCTCAATTCAAGGTGAGTGAAGGCTGGTTGCAGCGAATGATGAAATGGATTTTTATACAGTGCATCAGAACAGATTTTTTAAAAATTTAATGTGTTCAAGATATAAAAGTAACCAATGTTTATTTAATTTGTGTAAAAGTAAATATTAAAATTGCAAGTGTAGGTTAATTTGTGCCTCTACATTGTGCTCCTGTGCGAACTAATGTGCACTGAGTGTTGATTGTGGATTGAAGAAAGTGAGTTTGTAAATTTTAGCTAGCAATTAGACAACTTTAAAATTTGATACTTTTACTTTTTATGCCATTTTCTTCCACTTAGAACTTAACTTGGCCATTTGAAATGAAACTTAACCCAAAATTACTCACGAGAAAAAGCACGACATTTGAATGACCCGTGTAATGTCCACACCTGCATTTTAGTGATGTAATTTTAGTAAAAAATGTGCAGCCATTATGTGAGTGTATACGGTAGTGCAGTCTATCATCTCATCATAAATGGGTTGAATTATTTTATTTTGGTATCTAACATTTAAGTGGTTTATAAAAACTGATGGCTTAAAGTTGCAAGCTAGGCTACAATTCAAATAAAAATATGCAATTTAAAAATATTTAATATGCTTTTAAATAATTTTGTCAGTAATAATAATCATGTCATCGTCATTGGTTTTATGGCTGCATGAGCAGAAGAAAATATTACATTTTTTGTAATAGTAAGCATTGTTGTGTGATCCTTCATGATTTTCTAAGGAATAGGTTGATTTGTAAAGATTTAACTGTTCATTTAATAGGTTATTTTACTCCTGTAGGTATTTGTTATGTAGATATTAAACATTTTAAATTTGAAATCTGAATCCATATATGCTGGTGCTGTTTGACTTGCAAAAGTGTAATTTCTTTTTTTTTTCCCCATCTTCTTTCCTTTTTATGATATATCTCCACAATCTTTTTTTTTTTTTTTTTTTTTACCCTAGTATTCTTAATAACTTATTTCTGTATTTGGTTAAAAAAAACTGATGCACTTGTCAAAGTGTAAAACCAATTCTTTTGAATTATTTGTGACTTTATATCAGATTTCTCAGCAGCTGAACAAACTGTTAAATTAAATAACTAAAAATTTATTGAACCAAAAGTTCTGATTCATAAATTGTTATAGCATACCAAAAACAATTTCTAATTCAAATATACAGCCTCCATTCACAAAAATTTTCACTCAAAATCAAATATAGCTTAATTGATGTTAAAAACTGTTATAATATAAAATTTCAGATAAACTTTTAGACCTGTAATTTGAAATTTTATAAATGACAAATTTATTTCTTAAGCCTTTTGAATTTACTGTTATTAAATATGAGATGGTTTTCCTTAGAAAGCCCACCACAAAGGCATCTTCCTAGACAAATTATCCCTTCTTTTTCTGTTACCAATAATTAACCAATCAGCTACTTGATAATGGGAAGACATTTTAATTATATGGCTAATTAAATTTGCTAAAGACATCACAGTTAAACAATGTTCTGGTAAAGTGTAGTATTTTGAGTCAGTGGAGTTATGAAGTGTCTCATGATACATTCTTTATAAGTGACTGAATACAGAACAGCTTTGATGCTAGCCTCTAATAATGTAATAATACATGATGTGCCATTATTTCATGCTTTTTATGTCATATTTCTTCCCTATACACGATGTAGTACGAATTCATAATTGTTTGATTATGCAACGTTTTTCCATTCATCACAATCCATTTCTGATGTCCAGTCATCATAATCATGAGACCACTGTAACCACAGATTTTATTGCTTCATGCCTACTTGTGCCAACCATTTTTGATAAATAAATGCTATTGCCAAGCAGTGTGATTTAGTACTAGTATGGATGAGTGTGACTCACTCATAAGATTTTTGCTTTGATTTTTATGTAACCCCAATTAGTCTTCAATAAGCCAGTTTAGTTTTTGTAAAGTAGGATATAAGTTAACTGCTATTTTTGTGTTTCTTCCTTGTATTTAGGAAAAAAATATTAAAATTTAGGATCTGCTTTCTAAAGAACAACATGCAAAAGCTTGAGTTCATATTTAAATTTTCTACATGCTATATCTATAATTTGTATGTGTGAATTATTTAACTTAATAAAGTGTGCTCAGTACTTATCATCTGCAGTGGCTTTGATAAGAGAAAATGGTGTTAGCTTAATTCAGTCTTAAGAAAGTGCAATCTGCTGCCAAATATTATGAATATTCATGAAAACAAAATTGACATTGGTAAACAATAAATCAGCAAGTTATTCAGTATCTGTACAACATAAGTTATGTAAGATACACATATAGAAGTAATTTCATATAAATTTGTATTTATTGTATTTAATGTAATTTTGTCAACAATTTATTTAAAATAATAACATAACATAGCATACCAGACAATTCTGTTTGTTATTAAACATAATTGAAAATTCTTTTTAGTATTTTGTTAGAAATTTACTAAATAAAAACATATATGAACATAGAACAAAATTCTTTTTTGGAATACTCTTTCTGGTTTGCACAGTACAGGAATTGCTGCTAATTGGCCTCAAATATCAACCACTGCTCAAATATCAACCTAAAAAAACCCTCTATATTGATATAATGCAGTTGTAGCAAACCAGTTAGTTTGTTTATCATTTGTTTCTCGCACATGTGCAGATCGATAATTATTTGTTTCTTACACATGCACAGATGGTGACAATTTATTTTTCACCAAGGCCATTATTGAAAGGGGAGAACCCAGTCATCTGTTTCTTCGAAACTTCTATAAATGTGACTGATGCAAGTTTGGTAGAATCTCTACCAACATTCATGGTCAATAGGAAAAGTATGTAAGTACTCTAGTTTTTTGTGTTTGGCTGAAAAGAACTGTAGCCATAATAATTGTTGGCTATTCTAGCTCAATACCCAGTAAGCTGCATTCAGGGGTATTATTCTATTTCATCGGAACATGATTTTGTGAATTGTTCTTTGCTTATTGATCTATCTGAAAGCTAAAAATTAACCTAAATGGAAAACAAATTTCATTTTATGTATTTTATTTTGGCCCATCTTGTCACATTGCATAACACAGAACTAAAACACTTTACAGGATAGGAAACTGCTAGAACTTTTTAATCACTATTGTCATTCTAGTTTTACACTGCTAATTGGCTTCAAATATCAACCACTGCTCAAATATAAACCTCCCCCCCCGAAAAAAAAACGCTATATTGATATAATGCAGTTGTAGCAAACCAGTTGGATCATTTATCATTTGTTTCTCGCACATGCACAGATCGATAATTATTTGTTTCTTACACATGCACAGATAGTGACAATTAATTTTTTTATTTTACACCATGGCCATTATTGAAAGGTGAGAACCCATTCATCTGTTTCCTCAAAACTTCTATAAATGTGACTGATGCAAGTTTGGTAGAATCTCTACCAACATTCATGGTCATTAGGGAAAGTATGTAAGTACTCTAGTTTTTTGTGTTTGGCTGAAAAGAACTGTAACCATAATAATTGTTGGCTATTGTAGCTCAATACCCAGTAAGCTGCATTCAAGGGTATTATTCTATTTTATTGGAACATGATTTTGTTAATTGTTCTTTGCTTATTGATCTATCTGAAAAGAAAAAAATTAACCTAAATGGAAAACAAATTTCATTTTATATATTTTATTTTGGCCCATCTTGTCACATTGCATAACACAGAACTGAAACACTTTACAGGATAGGAAACTGCTAGAACTTTTTAATCACTATTGTCATTCTAGTTTTACACTGCTAATTGGCTTCAAATATCAACCACTGCTCAAATATAAACCTCCCCCCCCAAAAAAAAAACTCTATATTGATATAATGCAGTTGTAGCAAACTAGTTGGATCATTTATCATTTGTTTCTCGCACATGCGCAGATCGATAATTATTTGTATCTTACACATGCACAGATA